GCAAAGTGAAACGTTTTCCAGTCATATTTTTTACATTTAAAGAGGCACAATGCAAAAGAAAATTCAACTAGCACAATATATTTCAGAATGTATTGTTAATGCCAGTTTCATTCTAGGTAAACAAACCAAGGGAAGAGATCTGTACCCAGATGACGAACTGAATATCTCAGCATAAGGGCAGGTGTTTTAAAGAAGACACACTCGCTCCATATTTCTATGAAATCTCGTTAGATTTTACGTGATGCGCAAGCAACAAAAGATCATGGAAAACTTTGCTTCATTCTACACAACTGACAAAATCCAGACTTCCTGAAAAACATATTACACACATCTACGACCTGACAACATTGTAGACATTTCAAATAAAAAACATTTCAACTTACTTTTCAAGTAATCAGAGAATGTTTCTGGTTAACTTTATATTAATTTATCTTCCTTTATCACATTATATTACAAACGTATTTTAACATAACATAAACTAATACCCTATATTTTCATATAAAGAGATTCTGGAAATCACGTAAGGTCTCAATTCGATGTCGAATTATGAAACACGATAGGCTCATGCATCTTCACCTCTGATGATTAGTGCCTAAAATTTTATACAAACTCGTAAAATATAACAATGAGCCATTATCATTATTATAAAATTTTCGGTAATTTCTGAACTGCTCCGGATCTATTTGCTTCCTTCTTCCTGTATCTTTCATTATAGGCCTATAAAACATTTTTAACACTAACAGTATAATTATCTTATTTTGCCTCTAGACTAGGCCTATACCTATACTATATGATCACTTGTTTCACATTAAAAATGCTTGCAAATAAAACATTCATATTATGTTATACATTACAATATACAACTAATAAATAAGTTTACTTAACATAGGCATAGTATTCTTATTTAAACAATTAAACAATATTTTATAATATAAATATAAATAATACATACATAAAGCTATATATAATACATTAGCTAAGTATATAACAATAAATTAAACGTGGACATAATATTTACTACAATAATAAGATTAAAATTTTCAATCTTATAATCAATTTTATACAGCCGGTGTTATGTATTGACCTAGGCTACAGGCTAACGACAGGTACGCTTTCAAGTTTAAAGGCTTTTTCTACGAATGGAATGACCTGTACGAAGCACGAGCACCTGTAGACTAAGCCCAGTACCGTCTCGATTTGAATCGTACGGGAAAATTACTCATGCAGTGTGGATATTCTCTCTGATGTACAAATCCTACTACAAAAATCGACATAGGCACTAAAAAATATGGTAGCACATAAAAATGCAGAAAACGGAATATATTAGCCTATGTAAACCATGTGAATATGTAGGGAGAATGTAGATAAAAATAACAATGAAAAGTGCTGCAGATCATCCGGAGATTATTATCCATTGTACCTTGACTACCTATAATAGCGTTGTTCAACGAATTTACAAAGAGAGTGAAATTGGATACCCCTAATCACTTTAGTACAGTGACCCGGTTGGTTAAGGCGTCTGGTACATAAACATAGTGCAAATTTATATCAGTATTTTTTAGTTGCTTTGTCACGAAGCGCCTTATTAAAATTACATAACTTCATTAAATAGAGCATACCATTCTGATAATGTTACATAAATACTGACCGTGGATTTATATAACATCCTAAGAAATCGATTATACGCTCTAGAGCTAACTAATCCGATAAAATAATGTGTAAATATCACTTATCATGATAGCAGGTGCACCCGTTAAATAAATATACCTTATTGACTGTAATTTTTGAGAAATAAATGTACCGAATAAATTAAATGAAATAATAATTAAAGCACGCCATCTACGGCGTGAATATTGAGCCATTCGCAGGAGTTATTATGCCAATTCCAGGGATTAGTAATAGGGCTATTAATAAGATGATTGATGAATATTTGAATACAGCGTATGCTTGAAGAAAAAGAGTAATTCCGGTTTAATAATTCAACAATTTAATAGTTTTCTCCAGGACTGACATATCTGCCAATCCTACCGATCGAAGCCTTCCCACAGCTTGCCATAATCATAATAATCGTAATAAATTAAAAAATATATTATAGCAAATGCAAATAAATAACATAGATTA